ACTTGTAATATTACAAAAACAAAAATACTACGAATACAAAGTATATTCAGAGATTAAAGTCCCTCTGATACTGTTTAGTGACTGAGAAACTGCAGATTTGCCACATTTAAGATGGCGGACGCTCTGACGCATCTCAAAAGGCGCAGGCCCCCGAGTCAATCTGGTACCTACACCGGCAAGTGAAAATGGGGACGAGCACGTAGGACGGCCTTCTGATTGACAGTTAGGAGGACCACTGATTGAGATGATCCACCTGGAAGAAGAAGATCCTCCACTACACCTTTAAATATAGTTTCAGGTAGATAATTCTTATTTTTTTTTGCTTCTGCAGCAGCTGGATGAGATGCGGCGCGACCTCCGCTGGATCACAGACGCCCTGCAGTACGCTCGCTACAAGCATCCCCGCGGCGGCGTCCTCATAACCTGCCTGGTGGACGCCAGCGCTCCAGAGAGTGATTCTGGACAGCAGAAGACGGATTCCACGTCCTCCACCATGGACTACGTGCCTACGCCGCCTCCATCGCCGGAGCTCCGGCAGAGAAAGGCCATCAGTGGTGCGTATGAAGGCCTTCACCTTAGGGCGAAACTGAAAGCCTCATCAGAGCTTGACCCTGACCTCCGTCTGACAGAGTCTCTGCTCGGCTCCGATGAGGACGGCTCCTCTGAAGTGTTCCTGCCCACCGACAGTGACTACGACTCCAGCGACGCCCTGAGCCCCAGAGACATGGACCTGCTCTACTCTCCGGCGGCGGATCTGTCTCAGCAGCTCCTGCACTCCCTGGGGGGCAGCGCCCCCGATGTCCTGCAGATCCACGAGCCCAGGTAACGCTTTAGGAAGGCCCTACAGCCATCTTTCTTTATTGCCTGAAACATTCTTTAACTGGACCCCCCCTCCCTCCTCAGGTACAGTGTTTGCCCACAGACAGACCTCCCCACCTCCGCTCCTGGGAGGGATCCTGTCCTACCCTCCTCCTCCTCCCCGTCCACAGATCTCCCCCTCCCCACCTCGCCTCAGCCCCCGCCTCGCTCCAGGACCCTGCCCACATCTCCCTCCCTCCCGCTGTCTCCCAGGTTCTACAAAGATCTCCCCCTGTCCTTCCCCCTTTCCCCAGTTCTATCTGACACCACCAAGACTTTGGAGGGCCTCTCTCTGACTAAAGAGGGCCCGCTCCCAATGAGGGCCCTCGCCAATCCCCCCGCCAAACGCAAGCTGCTCTCCAGGAGCCACCGGGGGCAATACTTCAGCGGGCCCCAGCGCTGGCTCCAGGGCAACTCCGGGGAGAGTCTGACGGGGTCTCTTTCTGAGGGTGTTTACACCAAGCAGCTGGATGCTGACCTAACGCCACTGGGGGACCCGCCCCCGGCACAGGGCCACACCTTCGTCAGCCACGCCTCCTGCGTCCTGGAGAGCCGTAAGGCCCGGCACCGGGAGCTGAGGCCGCATGTTCGCAGGATCTTCGTGGAGCCCTGCAGGGACGCATCACCAAGCCAGCAGGAGGAGACTGTGACGGCTGCAGGAGTGTCGGTGGTGGTGGCCACGCCAGAGTCCGGAGAGGAGGGGGAGGAGCCAGAGGGAGCCATCGCCCAGGAAGTGGACTCGGATGACCAAACGAACGCTCAGGTCTCAGAGATCCTCAGCAGCACACTGTAGGAAGGCAGCAGCTCAGGGATGAGCGGACTGATTGTTCCATTAAAGCCACTGCAAACAACCGAGTCCGAGTCGTTTTACCTCATAACTCCTGGAAAACCACCTACGACCCCCTGCCCCTCCCTCACCGTCACAATGAAGCTGAAATCTGCAGAAAAGGTCAACCAGTTCATGGCTCATCGCTTTAAATCCGAAAGTTTGAACCTCTTTGCTCAGATTGGACCAATAAAGGCGGAGACTAGAGGAACGTTCAGCCACGTCATCAGCAGGTAGAGCTGATCTCCACAAACTGGGACCGAAAAAGGAAACATCTGAACAGAGAAACCGTTGGTGCTAATTTTTCTCCAGCAGTTTTAGAAACTGTTTCTGAGTTCAGTTTCCGTTACAGTAATCCATATTTTCCAGGCTTCTCTTCTTGCTCCGTTTTTAACATTGAAATTAGGGACGGGCCTTTCAGTAAACAGCTCCCCAAAAACGATGCAATTCCCAGGAGAGGAAGGTTAGCAGCCGTCTTCATCCTCGGCTGCTTTTCCATTTCGCTCAAACAACAAATCCTTTCCCAGTGCAGAGGAAACAACTTTGTCCTTTAGTGACGTTTTTTTTAGCGGCAGGTAGAAAAACAGGAAGGAAGTTTAAAGCGAAGGATGTGCATGGACTGGATTATATATATATAAACGTTTTATTTAGGTGGAAAACGCACTGGAAAAACATCCTGAAAGGAAAATACGCTTTAAATTAGCGGTTTAGTTGATAAAACTGGTTCGTACGCTAATTCCATAGGAAACAAGTGGGAAGTGCATTGGTCTGTAGCTGTGGATGAAAGCTGGACGTGATGCACCGTGATGGCCTCCTCTGGCGCCTCCTCTGGCGCCTCCTCTGGCGCCTCCTCTGGCGCCTCCTCTGGCGCCTCCTCTAGCGCCTCCTCTGGCGCCTCCTCTGGCGCCTCCTCTGGCGCCTCCTCATCTAACGTTAAAGCACTGAAACTAACTCTCTCCTGCTGATTTGGGGAAAGTTTAAATCTCGATCTAAAAGCTTTGTACCTGAACTTTGTCGCCATGACGACAACAACCACGTTTGGCCAGACAAGCTGCCCTACCGCCTGTTCGGATTCAGTTGCTGGTTCAAGTCCACCAAGCCTGAGAACCAATGGCATCGACTGTTACAAAAAAAGATCAATGCAACCAGAACCCAAGCACAGCGCCCCCTTCAGGACGCCTGCACGGCCCCCAGGAGAGGAACTGGACACCGTTTGTCCCCCTCCAGCACCCCCCCAGCCCCCCCTTCCTCAGCATGAACTGAATGTACGTTTTGGTCCATTTTGTCGACTCTGAGCTGGATGTGTCCTGATGTTTCAGTTTGAATTGAAAATAATGATGTGTATATATTCTTACAAACAGAATCATCTCCAGAGTCTTTATCACATGAAGTATTTTTTTATTCTTAAATCTAAAGATTGAATTTGGCCTGAGCTGTTTTTGTCAGCATGATGTAGACCGTAGTCCTGGTTTTATTCCACTGAAGCTTTGTGTCCAGTTTGTGCCTCCTCTGAATCCAGCATGATGACATCTGGTGAGGTCCGGTCTGCACGGCCCTCAGTAGAGGTCTGCACAGCCTTTGCAGGCCCCCCTGGTGAGGTCCGGTCTGCGCGGCCCTCCCCAGCCTCTCGCACTCAGATCCTCTGGGTTTGTGTTCTTCTTTCCCTTCGATAATTGTTGTTTTTTTCTGTTCGGTTTTTAACCAGCGGGAACCAAAAGCTGCACCTGTTTTCTTCATGATGTTCAGAAGTGATGGCATGTGGACCTGCTGGAACATGCTCACCTTCTTAACACATATGCACAGTATTAAAAAAAAAAAAAAAAAACAGGCAGAAAACATAAAAAGACGTTTTCTACCGTTTGCACATTCTGATTAAGGAATAAAAGCTAATTGCAGATCTGATGCAACAGGGCATTAACTGTGGCAGCTTCTGTTACTCTAAAGGTGAGATTTATGAAAAAGGAAAACAGCCAATGAAAAAAAGCTCCACTTTAAGGAGTTCTGGCTTTAATCTAAGATTTTTACTTCTTTTCTCTCAGAATTATTAGAAATTTCTCGAGAATTTTGACATTTTTTCTCTCAGTAATTCTGACTGTAACGCAGACCTTACATCTCTGTTAGCGTAGCCTGTTGCAAAGCTAGTTGCTTAGAGTCGCAGGTTTGCCTTAAAGTCAGAATCCTAGAAAACTATTTGTTTTTCTTCTCATAAGTGGAGTTTTTTAAATTGGCCTGAATCCGTTTTTGTAAAGAGCTGATGCTGGAGATGAATGAAGAATTAACCTGTGAGTTTGGTCATGTTTGAATGTCTTCTAGTGAAGTGTCAGAGTTCAGCTTTTCAACCAGACATGCACTAAATGTATTTACATGTTTCTGCTGCAGGTGTCTGTGTTTTTGGCATTTAACAGTTTTGGCTGAAATAAAAAAAAAAATAACTAAAGTAAAATCAGGGCTCTGTGTCGTTTGTTTTAAAGAAAACAAATTCCTCAAAAAAAACAGCTTGGATTTAATTTGTTCCGTTGAAATATTAGAAAAAGCGTTCATCTGTTTCTATTTGCATGTTTTCTAAACTAAAACCAGGCTTTGTTGGGCTGCTGGATAAAACCTGGAACTAAACGCTATTTCTGACATTTGGATGAAAAAGCTTCCTGGATGGAAGAGAAACGTCTTCAAACTTGGAAACAAAGTCCAGAGGATTGATTTTAACTCTTTTGGAATGATAATTAAAAACCTGTATAATGAAACCAAAGCAAATCATAAATGCGTTTCCTGTAGATTCATGAGGTAGACCTAATGGCGTAAATATCGCTAAGCAGAGAGTGCAGTTGCTTAGGGGCCCCCGTCACTGACACCTGGGTGGCCCCCTACGCAACTTTAGTCTAGGACGTCTATCTGCAGAGGTAATGGTGCGAAAAATTCCTCTTAAACCACCTGATATTATGTTGACTGACCGGACCGTATTTCTACGGCAACATACGGCAGATTTCACCATGATGGTGAGCCGCTTAACCACGGCACCAACAGCAAAGCAGACACTTTTAATTACTCTGTTAATAACTGTGTATAGTTCATTAAACTATACAAAATACGCTCGTATAAAATGTTTCACACCACAATAAAGATCTTAAAAGAACAACGTATCTAAGTGTTTTATTTTTTACAATACGACTTGGAATTATGGGTAATCCAGAGCGTAGATTAAAAACGTTACGTACTATGGCTCTGTTCGAAAACCTAGGACGCATCCTTAGAAGGCCAGATTCGAAGGCCGATTACGTCATAGCGTGGCGCCGAGGTCTGGTCGGATTCCAAGAGTCCTCGTTATGCAGCCTTAAAACGAGTCCTTCTTTTTGCCCGATTTGAAGGACGGGTCCGATGTATCCTCGGTATTCTTGGATATCCCAGGATTCATTG